AAACAATAACTGTTGTTGTGTTGCACAAATTGTTGAACGCAAAAAAAGCTACACTGGAAAAAAAAAAAAAAGCCAAAGAAAGCACTATTACATATGTAGTACATAACATGAGAAGATAATTCATTACATCATTTATAAAGTGAAAGTTCATCCTGTAGACTCCATCACCTTGCAGGGAGTACAAAAGTTGAAAAGGAATAACAGTTTTTATTTCATTGTATTGTTTATTTATAAAAGAGCAAGTGTCAAGTACCAGACAACATTTCAGTCCAGGGTCATTTTCAGTCCTCAGAAGGGACTTTATTAACATAAAAATAAAAACAACACAAACTTTCCTGTGAAATCTCAAGCATTGGGTAAAATTGCAAGTCAGCCCAAAATTAGAAAAGATGGTTAATTTTGCAACTTCCAGGAGGGACAGATTAGATAAACTGATTGATAATTTTTATACCCTGCATATCCTCAATCAGTCAGACCTCTATTACTCATTTACAACTGGTTGAAAATACTGCAGCCTGATTTTTAATCAGTACAAGCAAAAAATAGCACATTACTCCAGTTTTGGCCTCCCTGCACTGGCTCCCTGTTCACTTTCGAATTCATTTTAAAACCCTGCATGTTTTTAAATCTCTGAACAGTTCTGTCCCCTCTTATCTCACTTATATCAGCCATATGCAGCGCTCTTTGAGGTCTGCAGACCAGATGCTTTTATTGATTCCATGCGCTTGTTTTAAGCTCAGAAGTGACAGAACCTTCTCTGTTGAAGGTCCAAGACTGTGGAATGACTTACCACTGCATGTCAGGCAGGCTCCCTCTCTCACTGTTTTTAAGTCTCATTTAAAAACACACTTTTATTCCCTGGCTTTTGACACTATGTGAGCTGAGTTTAACTTGTCTGTATTCTGTAATGTTAACCATGTAGTTCTTATCTTTATCTATTTGGATCTATGTATTTGATCCTGTGTCCTTTGCTTGTTTTTTTTTTTTTTTTTTTTCTGTACAGCTTTGGTTGGCATTGTTGCTGTTTTAAGTGCTTTATAAATAAAGTGGTATGGTACGATAAAACAAGGTCGGAGCAAGAGTCATGTTGCTTATACACTGACTGGACACGATGACAACATTTAACACTGTTATTCTTATAACGTTAGATAAATCTTGAAACATTGCTTCCATTGTTTAAGATATTAACAAAAAACATGCAGCATTAATCTAAGTTTACAACAATAGTGGGACTTTTATTTGCCTTCCTGGTTATTAGATTAGTGTAATTAGAGAATTACCTAAACTCTTCCAATGATTGTTCTCTGAACTGTGCAGCTTAACCAAATGACCCACAACTGTCTCTGTGGTTCCTTTTTATAACTTGAAACAGTCGCCCAATTAGCTGCCAGCTGTTAGAATATGCAACAAAACCAACTGCACACTCTGAGCATGAAGAAGGTCTTCAGGGGGGCAAACAAAACCAGAAGCTACAAAATGTTTGGAGAAAATGAGATTTCTGACCATAGCACTGCTGCCTGAATGAAAATTTAATTTGAGTTTGGCAGGTTTATTTTGCTTTGTTTTAACTTCTTTTATTGGATAAAACTTTCCAAACGCTCTGTGCTCATTTGATTCTCCAAGGATCAAAGGACTCGGCCTGGATGGGTTTTTTCCCCGGTGACATTAAGGCGAGTCTTGCTGCCACGCAGTTGCATGCAGCGTTCTGCGAGTTGAAACTGCTGGCATCGAGTTCGTATCACACACTCACTGAAGACTTGTTAAAAACCCACAGGGCATTTTTGATGTTGCTATCAACTGCATGCAAAACTCTCCATATTGCTTCATGAAGCATTTCAACTATAAATGTTTTTTTTTTTTAGTTATATTTCTAAGTTTAAAAAAAAAAGGCAGGTGCATCAAAATTCAGCTTTGACACATTTCCACCACTGCAATTACCGTAATATGAATAAAATAACATTTCCTGGGGTGTTTTTTTCTCCTGTTGACCCTTCAACCAGTCGAGCAGCGAGCTTTTAAGTCATTACAGTCATTACAGTCTTCATTTAAATGGACAGGGGGCCTGTTTAGACAGTGGCCGATTGTCGCCCCTGCTCATCGTTACTGTCACACTCGACTTATTAGCTGCAAAGTCAAGATGGCAGCCGTCACACAGACAAGGTCAGCTAATGATGACAACCGATGACCTGTGCCTTCTGACCTCATACTGCAGCTGTTCAAGCATCAAAACTTCGGCTTCTTGACGTTTTCAGAAACACATCTGGTGCAGAAGCTTGTTCAGTTTTAATCATCTCTGCATGACTTTTTTTGTGTGTGTGAATTCTGATTTTAGCCTTTTTTTATATCAAAACAATCAGCTCATTCAGGAGATGGGTGCTATGATTATTCTTTGTACCCTTTTTAACTTTTCAATTTGCATTCCTTTATTCAAAACTACTTCCCTTAAGTCTAGTCTAGTCCGGGATTATTGAGCATGCATCAGGATACTTCCCTTAAGAACTGCAGTGGGATCTTAATTCCTTCCAAAACACTTTTCACTTTGAAACAGCTTCAGGGTCCTTGCAATGTTTTTGTCTTCTTTAGCTTTTAGCTACAGCTGTGCCACTTTTAACGTTTAGCTACTTTTAGATACTTTTACAACTTCTAGTGTTTTAATTCCTTTAACTAGCTCTAGGATACTTTTAGGTATTCGCTAACTTATTGCTACTTTTAACTTTTGTGTTTTCCTTCATTTAGCTTTTTTGTTCATTTTTTGTCAATTTAAGCTTTTAGTTGGTGATCTGCTACTTGTAGCTTTTAACTAGCCTTTTGATACTTTTGGTTTTGAATTTTGGCTATGAGACCAAATCAAAAATTTTAAAAAAGTATGTATACTTTGCTCCTTTACCTTTTTCACAAGTCAGTTTTTTTATTTTTATTTTGCACAACATTTAAATAATCTAAGTACAAAAAAATAAAAATACTTTATTTAGGAAAGAGTTCAGGTTCAGGTACAGGGCAGATAAGTAGATACGGACGGTATGTCGCCTGTCAGATTTTTCTGTCTCCCTGTTTCTAATTGTTCCAGGATTTGAAAAGGTCAAACTTTAAAGAATTTAAAGGCAAAACATTCCACAGAAGTCAAGTTCTAAATGGAGGAAATTGTTTAACATTCTGGAAATTTTATTGAATTTATTTTGTGTCACAATCTTGCCCAAGTTTCACTGCAATAATCAAATCACACCTGGAAGAAAAAAAGTTGAATTCAATCAAAGATATTTTTTAAAATTTAGAAAATCAGTAAAGTTTATATGAGTCAGATGAGTTGAAATCAACTGGTGATAAAACTGGTGAGTGCAGACATGAGGACAAACAGAAGTGGTTCACATGTTACTCGTGCAAATGACATTGTCTGATTCTGTACTGTACAATTTTGCTAACTGGCTTTTAATCCAGAAAAACGCTTAAACTCACCAAAGCAAAATCAAATACTAAAGATTTTCTTGGGTGAGCCATAGAGAACAGTCCTGTTGCTTGAGTTTAGAACATGCTCAAACAATTTGTGAAACAAATTTTATCTGAAAATAGTCACAAAGTTGCCATGGGCATCTCCAACTCATCTTGAACCGTTCTCAGTTTTGTCACAGACGTCTTCCATTAGTCTCAAGAGCCTTGAAGTTTTATTTTGACATCTGCACAGGAGTTCTCTGACAGAAAGCATCAAAGGCCTTGAATGCCAGGTCTAAAATCCAGGATAACCAATTAATATTACAAATTTGATGCTGCCACACCAATCTTCATTTCTAATGCCCTGTAGGTTAAATCATAAACTTTGAGTTGTCTCCCAAGGTTGGTACACTAAAAGTCAAATATTGGCCATGGTTTTCAAAAATGTACTGCTCAGAATGTGGTCGCATGACTTCCTAGTTGCTTGCTTGCAAACATCTTTAAAATATAGGGATGTGTAATATGGCATAAAATTCATATCACAATATGCACTGTGAAGGGTGGCGATAACAATATACATCACAATATCTAAAAAAGTTCAATCTGGTCCTCTGGACATTAAAAAAAAAACAAAAAAAACAAAGTCAAAACAACAAAAAATGTAGAAATGTTTCATCTCTCATCTGAAGGACTTCCTCAGTCTGAGGTGCTGTTTTCAGCTCAGTCTCTTAAATAGCACCTTCTCAGAGTGGATCAACCAGTTTGCTGCTGACAACCAAAACCAGCTGATCACATGCTCAAGAAGGACCATCAGCCTAACAATGGATCATTAGCACACTGATGGCTGTTTACTATTCACAGAGGGCTGAGTGATACTAGCAATATCACTGCAGTTATCCGGTAGAATACAGATCTCTATCGTAGGCTAAATGTCTA